CGAGCTGGATGGCGCCTTTTATGGCTGACACTGCCGTTGGTGAGTGAATGGGTGAATGTGAGGCAAATGTAAAGCGCTTTGGTGGCCATTGGGTCTGTGAAAGCGCTACATAAATGGAGTCCATTTACCATTTTTATTCAAGACTCATAATTTGATCTGCAAGTCCCCAGTCACACGAAGAGTTCAAGCCATCAAGCAAGTATAAACAAAGTACATGGTACGAGCAGACCAAACTATGGTGAAAATTAAGGACAGTGAGAGTAGAGCTGACCTGTAATGAGAGTCCAGACGAATAAGAGAGATATGGCCTAGCTGGACCCTTTATGTGCCTCTGTAGACATTCATACACCTTCAGAGAAAAAAGTCAATAAAAAAAACGATGAACCCTGACATATAACGAACTGTTAATACTAGAAGTTTATGTAGGATGGACTCTACCTTTAGTAGAGACTGCAACCAGGGGGAATTGAGGAGACTGTGCAATAGTTCAGCTCCATTTATATCTTTATTGATAGAACCCCTCACCTCAGCAATCACAAGTGCTAAGATCTGGGTCAGGCCTGTAACATACAAAGCAAACACCTCTAGAACTTTAAGCTTGTTGGGATATGCCAGTGATGCTGGATGGCTTCTTTAGCAGCTATAGTAACATTAATATTAGCATGTTGCTAATCAGCTAGACAAAACTCAAATTTAATTTGGCAGCTTCCAAATTTAAGTAGTTACTTGTATTGAAGTTTCTTACCTTTGTCTCCCATCTCTAGTGGAGCCGACCCTTGATCAGACTCCACGTTTGGTCTCATTGTCAATCCAAGAGGGTTTTAAAGTTCAGGGAATAACCGAACGATGCACTGATCCTCCTCATATACAGCTGCAAGAAAACCCCCATGAACTCAAGTACAACTGCTGATCAGTTATTGCCTGTTATTTCCAAATCAATTGTAAATTCAGTAGAAAAGTTATGTTTCAGAAAAGCACCGTAACCTTAAGTAGACCATCGAACCATTGGCGCACCAAGGGTTTCTATGATATATAAGCCTACATTGCTTTGGGAAATGCAGTATAGAACTTTTTGTAGTTGTAGAAATAATAGTGGTTATTTTGGGTGGTGTGGCTTAAAGATCAGGGCTGGTATCCAAAAGTTTGTAGGTTCAAACTCAACAAGGATCATCATTGTGCTCTTGTGCAAGGCAGTCAACCATAGTTTGGTCCATTTGGACTGTTCTTGTCATTATACATTGGATAAAAGTGTCAACGGTATGACACATTTGTGTTGGGGCTGATAACCCACAACTCTAAGAATTCAAAAAGGAAATCCAGAAATCCAAGAATGGAGGGGATCCATGAATGCCCTTGTCACAGTTTTGACCTTGAGCAAAGCACTTAAGTACAGGTTACTCCAAAGGACCTTTCCTGGTTATAAGTGGTTTTGGATAAAAACACATCTGCTACATAAACAATAACCAAAAGATCACATGAAAGAGTGCAATATAAATATCTCAACAGGATTCTTTATGAACACTGTAGGTAAAGACACTGGATATTACTTTTGCAGATCTTTAGAACAAAACAGGTGCACATAATTTTCAGACATTATAACTTCTTTTTGAGAGTTACTTTCCTTTTAAGAGTGGTTTTAACTCAGTGTTTCAGTATTCAAGTCAATTTACAGCCAAATCGGATTTTTTACTAAAGGACATGTATAGAATGCACACATAACATTGCTGAATTCCAACTGGAGCATCCCAGGAATACACACAAGGAAGGATTTAACGATTAAAGTGAATAAAAATCCTACTACAGCTTCCTCATTGATAAGCCTAGAAGGCAAGAACCACAAACTCACATCCAGGCAGAGACTTAGTAGCAAATCCTGTTCACTTACCTCCCTCTTCCCTCGCGTTCAGTTCGTCTTCTCAGTTTAGATCCCAGTTTAGAATTTAACACACTGACGAGCTTCTGAAGAGGATATAGTTTGCATGATGAGGGTCAGTTTTAACTTGCTCAAATATGATGGTATAAATAGAGGAATAACGTGGATAGGATTCCATAACAGAGCGCAGAAAAGTGCTCTTGGAAAAAAGAAGCGTAATCCCTCTCTATCCTGCTTAATCCCTCACAAGCAAATGAGTCAGCTGGGGAGAGAGAGTGTGTAGTCCTGTGAGATAGTAAATTAGGAAGGGAGGGATTGGATAGTCAGGGTGTGTCTAAGAGTGAATGTGTCTGTGCTTTCATATTCTTTCAAACATCATTCTATCACAAAACTCTTAATTCATCATAACACACAATCAGTGCCAGACTCTTATTAAGATTTAATCATTCCTCACCCACTGCATGAGATACATAACACTTCTCTCTCTTTCGCTGACCCACTCACACATATTTACCAGCTGATGATCCCACACTGAAAACGTTCTGCATCACGTACACACGTACATGTAATCCTCTTGATTAAAACAGTGGAGTGAATGACACACTCTGACTTGTTATTTGATTTTCATCACACTGTTTTCACATTATACCTTTTAAAATAAAACTGTATGTGACAGATCAGGGCTAGTTGTCACAAGGGGTTTATATCAGAAACGTTTTGAGCCACATTTTCAGTTACGTAAACACTTGCTTTAGTAAGTGAAATGAAGGTAATGTTGTTTGTCAATCTTTATTTTGTACTCTGCAGAAGGAAGAAAATTATCCATGTTTGGAAGGACGTGAGGGCGAGTAAATTAATTTTGGCTGAACTATCCATAAATCTTTAATATGGCCAATTTCTTTCATTTCATTTTATTAATCGTTTCAATTTAAAGCAACACGCCTTTTTCACAGCAAGACTGTGAATAAAAGCAAGGCTGTGAGGGATAAGACATGCATCTCTTCAATGGGCTGTACCGTTATTTAATGTGTTTTCGGATTGTTCTGCATAGAAACATTGGAAAAATATCTTTCCAAGAAATTTCAGTTGACAAAAAACTACCAAAAATGTAAGCTGTGGAAAATTGTAAGTAATCTAGGAGCTTTATTCAGCTTTTTAAAGCGGATGCCATTGGAAACACGGTAAGTCTATCCCTCACGGCGTTGCTCTGAATAAGGTCTATTGGGATTTCAAACAGTTTAAAAAGTTAAGTCGTTTTAACACAACATGAACCAGAGAATTGTTATCCTACTGTTTTTAGCAGATGCATATCAACTCATCTCTGGGTAAAAGCAGACTTTTTAAAGGGGTGACTGATTATGATTTCACTTTTCTAACTTTAAACAACATCTGCAAAGTTATAACACTCAAAGTTCTAAGCAAAGGGAGATATTTGCTTTTAAAGAAATCGTTTTTTTAAAGACTACAACAGATGACTACACACTCTGAGGACATCAAAGATGTAGTTTACATTTTGTGAAAAGGGCATTATAGTACCCCTTTAAAGCTTGAAAATTCTGTCAGTAATTACTCACCCTCATGTTGTTCCAACCCTGTAAGACCTTCGTTCATCTTCAGAACACAAATTAGGATATTTTTGATGAAATCTGAGAGCTGGATCATTCCTCCATACTAGTCCATAGGCTTCTTGAGGGATTGAAACTTGCTGGCCTCGAAAAGTTATTAAAGACATCGTTAAAATAGTCCAAGTGACTACAGTGGCTCAATCTTAACTTTATCAAGCGACGAGAATACTTTTTGTGCGCAAAAACAAACATAAATAACGACTTTATTTCAATTATTAATTTCCTTCTCTTTGGGCCTCGTCAGTTAACGTGGTGTGATAGCGTAGAGTTACGTCACATGTAGGCTCACTATTGGCCGACGCTGGTCATGTGTGTGACGTACAATAACAGAAGCTCACGCTATTATACTAGTGAACTCACTCGAGGCCCACAGAGAAGGATATGAATATATCGTTATTTTTGGGGGGTTTTGCACACAAAAAGTGTTCTCGTCGTTTGATAAACTTAAGATTGAGCCACTGTAGTCACTTGGACTATTTTGACGATGTCTTTAATAACTTTTCGAAACCGACAAGTTTCAATCCCTCAAGAAGCCTATGGACTAGTATGGAGGAGTGCAGCTCTCAGATTTCATCAAAAATATCTTAATTTGTATTTCTGAAGATGAACGAAAGTCTTACGGGGTTGGAACAACATGAGGGTGAGTAAATACTGACATAATTTTCATTTTTGGGTGAACTATCCCTTTAATATATTGAAGCGCCCCATGCTTAAAAATGTTGTATACAGGCATAAGCTGATTGGGGGAAACTATCCATTTTCATGATGTGTTACTTCATCTCGTCCCTGTCTTTACCACCCTATAAAATCAGTTTAATGTAAAAAGGATAAACAAAAGCTAATACTAACCCTTTAAGGCCGGTCTAAAGCAGTCGTTCCAAAGATGTGTCAACATTCCTCCAATCTGACAAGGCTGAAAACATAAGTATTAAAATACAACAAACCATTTAATCAGACATAGGATAACAAATAAATAAGCTTATCGACTTTCATAGAGAGTAGAAACACTTACCTAACCCAATGGTCAAGCATCCAATCAAATGATGTGCTAATTGGAAGCTATTTTGGAGATTATACAGAAACAACATGACTTTGAAATCTATATATATTTGAGATCTATATATATATTACCAGTTTATGATGGTCCACTTTAATAAACCAATATTGGTTTATTAAAGTGGACCATCATAAACTGTTACCATAAAAAAGCTGGTTCTTAAACATTCTACCAACTTTAGACATTTGGTCCACTTTAGACATTCTATTAAGTACTACAAAGTGACTAACTGCAACATTTCGACTTATTCTCCAAATCCGATATATATTAATACTAATACTCAACAGTTAGTTATGTAGTTGCAAAATTAGTTAGTAGAATGTCTAAAAATGAGCCATCGAAAAAAAAAAAAACGGTAAAAATGTTTTATATAAAACCCCCCCCCCAAAAAAACGTTTTGTAAACAGCTGTAATAAAAGGCCAAGAAGGAGAGTCAAAACAACCATTTTAATTCCCAATCATTGTTTTATTGCCATCTATCTCAATTATGTCAACAAAACAATTTGAACATACAATATTCTTCAAAAAACCAAAACTTTACACATACTTGCACACATACGCACATTCAAACACAGGTTAATATGCACACCTTGGTTCAGCCTAGAAAAACTGGTGTGGAAATACAAACCATAACATGAATCGTTATATTCATGCAACATCTCAATGGTTGCAAACATCAACAGTCCTTCGCCGTAACAGTTTGCACGATTACGTACAATCACACAAGCATCCAAATCCTGATCTCTGATACTCGGAAATGGGTTTTCTGGGCATTTTTTTTACCAACTCACTGTCCTTCTGGTGCGCTGTACCGTACGTGATATACCCTGCAGATTATCTATGTCGCTCAGATTATCTGTGCTGCAGACAGATCTAACCATCAAATAAATAAAACAATGTCAATTAAAGGAAATAATGCATTAGGCTTTTGAGCTTTAAAAAGTGTGACTCAACTCAAAGCTATTGCTGGGTAAAGAGATATATTGACAGACACACATTTATAACACTGTCAGAGGCACTTTTAAGAACACTTCATGAGAACTGATTTTAGCAGTGAATACTACAGTGCTTGTCTACGTCAAGGGACTTGAAAATAATATTTAAATGAAGATAAATACTAATTGTATTGTAATTTAGCATGGCCATGCAAATTGTGGCTTGTTTCTTTTTTCCAGTGTGCCAGTGACTTAAAAACTTGACTATTACTCAGGGATGCAGAAAACGTTGAAATCATATTAAGTGTTTTCTGAAATAAAGGCTACAAGAATAATTAAGAGTGCATCAAAATAAATTGCTGGAAACTCTTGTGCAAGTGCATATAGAAAGAACAAAAAATATTGTGTTGACCCACAAACACTTTTCTATTTTTTAGTGTGAACCGTTTAAAATACCAAGTTCAAGTTGGCTGAACAAAGAAGCTGGTAAACAAAGACTTGTACATAATAACGCAGGGCACCATCCCTGCACAGTTGGTTAAGAAAGCTCAAAATGGATCAGACGTCAGCAATAAAAGTTACAGCCCACGTTTTGTGTTTCTTTTCATAGACATTCAAGCACAAGAAGCACATAATTCTTCACTTAATGTGAGCATATTCATGATTTAGGTCAATGGCAGTGTGCTGTTTGCCATGAATGATGTAATACGATCAGGAAAATGTAGTAGTTTACTTCAAAGATGGAGGTAGATTGCATCCATTATTTCAGATGGCTTACAGTACACTAATGAACTTCATTCATCATTAATCGACAACTGACACTGGATCGACCCGTGTGTGCTTGAAGGGAGAGGTGACATGCTGTTATACGTCATACATTCTGAGCCAATGAAGTACAGGCTCTTTAATAAAAGTACAATGAGTACATGCATCTATAGCATGATGGAATGGCAGCAGTTAAAATGCCACAACGATGGCTTTTTGAGTGAGGAAGACACAAAAATGTCACAAATAAATGTTATTAAATGCCAAACCAAAGTCTGACTTGCACATAAACGGGACTGTTTGAATGTGAGAATGTCAGATTCGAATGGAATCACCTTCACCGGCCATGTGATCCAGGCTCGGAACATGATTGGCTCCTCACACATCAAGTCTGTTTCTTGAACACTATTGGCTGGTCTGTTTGTCAGTCATTGCACTGCCTTACCAGATGGGTTTGGAGAGATCATTACGTGACCTTCTCGTGCTGGATTTGATAGTAGCATGCCTGTACAAAGCAAATCAGATTTAAAAAATCTATTATTTAAAGGGACACTCCACTTTTTTTGGAAATAAGCTCATTTTACAACTCTGTCATTTGAGTTTTTCCGTTTTCGAATCCATTCAGCCGATTTTCTGATATTTAGAAGAATATCAGTAACCAGATAGCTTCTGGTCTCATTGACTTCCATAGTATATTTTTTTCCTACTATGGAAGTCAATGAGACCAGAAACTGTCTGGTTACTGATATTCTTCGAAATATCAGAAAATCGGCTGAATGGATTCGAAAACGGTAAAACTCGACTGTTTAACTCTGGGGGAGTGGTAAAATGAGCCTATTTCCAAAAAAAAGTGGAGTATCCCTTTAAGACCACTGAGGCAGTTTAAGATTAGTTGTCTGTTACTAAACAACTTTTACATTCTATAGGTGCGATGTTTCAGCAAATTTTTACGGATGAAATCCAGTCATTTGAACGAGAATCCATGTAATTGGGAATATCATGCGAGGGCAAAAGATTTCTACACGCAGATTTCTCAAAGGGTTCAGGTTGGACATGTGGATTCACCAATAGAAATTTGTTTGGTTTGAAAATTGCTTCATGCAACGCTACACTACTGACAATTTACAGTGGCCGTTTTTTTTTGCTCACAAAATTTTGCCCATCATTTGTTGGTATAGGAAAAAATGGATATTTGGCTGAAATTTTATCTTTCTGATTATATTTTACAATACAGTGTTAACACCCTGATAGAAGTACAAGGGTGAAATGTTGCTTTAATTATAGCAAAAGTTAAATATAGTGTAAAAAACCTTATATATACAGTATACTATACCTTGAGTGTGGTAAACATGATGCCATGCTCTCCATGTTGTACACATGGATCCATTAGGTCCTCAATGAGACTGACCTCTGACCCCAGATTCCTTATCCTGAAGAAAACAACAGCTGTCAACTAAAACATGCCTTGTTTTGCGTTATTTTCTGTTTTAAAGCTTATGCTGATTAAAAAAAGACTGTTTAAAATGAACACAATCGATCGTTTATAAAGATTTCTGAAGGATCATGTGACACTGAGAACTGGAGCACACTTTGCATCACAGGAAAGAAAATAAATTTTAAAATATATTAAAACAAAAAGCTCTTATTTTAAATTGTAACAATATTTCACAATACCTATTGTTGTTACTGTATTTCGATCAAATAAATGTAGACTTGGTGAGCGTTAGAGAAAGTTTTACCATCCCCCAAATTTTGAAAAGTAGTGTTGTATATTCCAAAAAAAGGGTGCATTAGACACCCTGTGATCTCGTCCTTACCGTGCACGCAGAACAACAAAGAGGAAGACAGGAAACAGGTCGTCCATAGACCACAAGAAATCCTGTTTCAGGAGTGCAAGTACTTGCTGGGTTATCTCCTCAAAGGTCAGCTGGATGACCTGAAGCTTATCTGAGGGGGTGAAAGTTGTGCTGTCGAAATAAAAAGAGAAAAAAAACCTTGAAAACTACATACCAGAGGGAGAAACTACAAAAGTTATTGGACAAAAAAAAATCTCCAACCTTATTTGCTGTAAAGTCTCAACCGCTGAGGCAAAACAGGCGTCTTTTGTGCTTGAGAGAACCTACACACCAACACCCAAAATATTTCCATAAATATTGCTTCATGTTCAGGTTATTATTTCAGGTATAGTCAGCATATTGCCTTCAATGAGAGATTTATGAAATGTTTTAAAGTGCCCCTATTATGCTATTTTGTTGTTTTGGAGGTCTCTCACAACAGGTTTACATGCATCCAAGGTCAAGAACACTTTCGTATCAATGACGGTTCAATAAAAGATTCTGTCTCGGCTCCGGAGGCTTCCACGGCACTGATACGAACAGTAACGATAGAATCATTTTTACCGTATCAATGCACACAAAATGTTAAAATTTACAACAAAATATTTTAGCTACTTTTTCAAACACGTTATTTTCCCATGTATTGACCGACACCTCTCCTTTTCCCCACGTTGAGAGAAATTGTGAGTAAGTGCCGAGGCGTTGTGTGCGCTGTGTGAACATGATGCTTATTGTAGTAGTATATTTTCATAGTATATTTTTTTCCTACTATGGAAGTCAATGAGACCAGAAACTGTCTGGTTACTGATATTCTTCTAAATATCAAAAAATCGGCTGAATGGATTTGAAAACGGTAAAACTAAACTGTTTAACTCTGGGGCAGTGGTAAAATGAGCCTATTTCCAAAAAAAGTGGAGTATCCCTTTAACAACAATCTGAAAATAGTGTGTTTTTGTCGCTTTAAGAAATGCACGTGCATGATCGTTTTTTTTATGACACACGAAACGGGAGGGAGGGGCGAGCTAACTTGTTTTGTTTGGGATATCGCTTCCAAGTTCAAACAAACAAAAGTGACGTTACCCACGATCACTGATACAACCTTTAACAAACAGCTATATTACAAACTACACAAAAAGAAATTTCTGAATAAGCATAATAGGGGCACTTTAAAAAAAATTATAAAAAGGCCATTTTTAAAAACCTGTTGTTTTTCTCCATGTACTGTAACAGTCACAGGCCAGAACTTCCTATGAAAACAGTTGTTAGTGGCAGTAAGATGGATCACTACAGGATAATCAAATCCAAGCATGTCTCATTGTAGTTGTGTGTGGGACTCACTGTTGCACCCCGAGGAAGGTGAGCAGCGCCAGGTCTGGCTGTTTGTTGAGTCGGAGCACACACTCCCAGTACACATCATCCTCCTTCTCTTTCTCTAAAGCGTAGAGAGTGAAGAGAGGAGGGTAGAGACGTGGCAACAGCACCGGTAGGAGGAGAGCAGAGCTGCTGACCACACACCTGCCACACACACAACACATCATATGACCACTAAAAAAATGATGTGTTAAAGACAACAGCTTATAAAAGCACAGGAAAATCATCTGAATTTATAAAAGTATGAGATAAAAATTCGAAATTATAACTGTGTGCATTTAAACTTTTATCATAATTACGACTTAGAATGTCATAATTTAAACTTTTGATGTCGTACTTATGATTATCAAAGCATGATTTTTTTTCTTATGCAGTGGAAATGATAAGCTTACTTAAGCTTACAGAGTTTGCGCCTAAGTTCCAAATAAAAAGAGAAATTAATCAAATTAAGTACTTTTAATTTCTAAATTCCATAATTTATCGAATATAAGTTTTACCTCATGGTGATTTAATATGTAAGCATCACTTCCATTAAAAAAGCTAACAGTGACAAACAATTACACTTATAAAAAAATAAAATAAAAATTTTAAATATTTTTTAATTTTATTTTAAAATAAAATGACTTACACTGTAATATCAGAGTTTGGTCAAGCTATTATATTTCTGATGAGATCATGATATCTTACATACCCAGGTTTAGGAGATTCAAGCTGCTTCCCAGCAGGGTCTGAGCCGCCCGTCTCTTTTGGAGGGTCAGCCAATGAACCTCCTTCCTCAGGCAGATCAGGGAAGAGAAATCTAAACACAAACACACATAAATATTCGTGGAAAAGACATTTAAAACGGACTTTGTTGTCAGTTTGACTCAAGCACTTACCTGACGAGCTGGAAGATGCGGCTGAGATAGGACTTGATCTCATTGACGGCCTGGGGCAGTAATCTGCGATTGGCCCCAACACCAACATATGTCATACGGTACACCGAAACCAATGTCTCCACCAGTCGACCCAGAGGATGCAACGGGGTATCACATGCCTAGGGTCAAACATCAGGGGTCAGTGACATATAGTGTAAACTCATCAAACTCCTAGAGGAGCAAAGAGGGACACAATACACTGGAAAGATACAATGCAATGCTTACCTTGACGAGGTACCGGCGGATTGTGTGGTACACTTCTAAAGTCACAGGACCCACATGATGAGGGATACACTCAAGACTCTCCAGCGTTTTGTGATGAGAGCGACTCAGCAACTCTGGACTAAAAAACAAACACAAGCTGCCTTCACGTGCTATTTGAAATGTATTCCCACTTCTGAAGTAGTGATTACAAGATTTTCGCATTCAAGCGATTTGTTGTCGGAAAGATCAGGAATAAAAAAAGACACCAGGTTTATTCCTGCCTATTTATTGGGTAAAATCTTATTAAAGTCAAAATGATATTTAGCATCCTATTCATAAACGCTATCTAGATAGTCTGCTTTCGGACAATTCTGGAATTTCGCTGCGTATAAAACATGCAATACACTTTAAATTATTATTTATATATGCAAATATGCACTACTTTAATGACAGGGAAAAAAAAGAATACCAAGCCACAGCAGCAATCATCCATTTAATTTGCAACAATCAAGTCCCACCCTTCATTTTTTCTTAATACTTTTTTAGGGTTTGATTTAGGGTTAGTCACATGCAATTATGCATAATATATTGGTATTATTACAGTAAGTACATGTGACAAGAACACTGTTAAATAAAGTGTTACCTTCATATGAGTATAAGTCATACCGCCCACAAATCCATATATTTATTTTGGTTGCACTTTATTTTAAGGTGTAATTGTCAATATAAGTACTATAGGTAGTTGCATGTAATTATGCATATGCACAATTTACTGCTATTACTATGGTAGGTACATGTAACATTTGTAACAAGGACATGCGGTTGTCAGCTTAGCAACATGATTATGTCAGGCTCTACTGGAATCCACTGTGAGTGCATGTGTGTTTAAGTGTACCTGTCTCTTTGCTGTCTCAGGTTAGCAGTGAGCGCTACAGCAATGTTGTCCCACGCTGTAGTTGTTTGCCCTTGTCCGGGATGATCACAACCTAGCCTGTTCCAGCACTCCACGAACACGGCCTTCCACTTCTCTTCGGAGTGAACTGCTAACCTGCCCAGTTTACTGCAGACAAACACAATCACACATCCATATAGGCTCTCCGTCAAAAATGACAATGTCACTTAACATTTGAATAAGCTACAAAGTTCAACACATGCTCTTACAGTGCATGAGCCTTCTCCTTGTCTGAGTCGTAGAGACTGGGTTTGTAGTAAGAACCTGACATCTTTAGTCCGGTTCCCCAAACCCCACTAAAAGAGCCTTCGATGTAGTCTCCATTCGGCATGGTCAACATGCCCTGGAGAAAGAGAAGATAACAGACTTGTTTGTAAGAACATACACCATCATTTAAAGGTGCAGTAAGCAATTTCTGAAAAAAAAACACAGTTGATATTTGAAATCGACACCCAAACAAACACACCACTCCCTTGTTGTGAAGGCTTGTTTTCAAACCTTCTTGCTCTCTATGTCTCCAGTATTAATGCGGGACCTGATTGTAACCCTTCTTCCAATTATATTCTTCTGACCTTTTCCTCTTTGATAATATACAAATCTTCCTCTTGCTCAGTCTCTCTCCTCCCCCATCATTAGCGGATACATCTATCGCCTATTGATGATTGGCTACAATAATGTTTTGGTGATCAGTGGATCGGTCTGATCTTTTTTCTCCTATTTACACAAAATAAAACCTTTTCAGGACACACAGAACAGAAATCTAGCAAATCTTCACAAAATGTTTTTTTTTTTTTTAGGTGTTCATTTTAATTTTCAAAAGCATTTTTCAGAAATTGCTAACTGCACCTTTAAAAGTTTAGGAATCAGTAAGATTTGTTTTGAAAGAAGTCTATTGTGCAGTACAACAGTAATATTGTGAAATATTATAAATTTGATTTGCTGATTTGCTGCTCAAGACATTTCTTATTATCTTCAATGCTGTCTAACATTTTGTTTAAAAAAGGAGTTTATTAAAAAAAATACAAATTTCTTAAAAAAAAAATATATATATATATATATATATATATATATATATTAATGAGCCCAAATTTTTGAACAGCAGAGTAGATGTGTGTGTTTGTGAGCATTATAAATCACCTTTCCATTTAGAGTCCAGTCTTCTGAAAATTCCCCTTCAAATGTGGTGTCATCTTCAGACAGTAGCACCCCAGTCCCCTTGGAGAGAAACAAATTACAAGATTAAAAAAAGTTATTTTTAATAATTTATTAGTAAAAGAGTTTGCAATTTAGCTTATGTCAGGTTTTGACATTTTTGTAGGTTCAAAAACAGTAAAACTTGATGTGAAGGGTTATATTTTGTAGTGAAAAGATGGCACTTATTCAAATATAATTTGAACAAAAAAAATCATAGCACTAATATTTGATAAATACTGTGTGATAACTGTTGAATAAAAGCAACAATGCTCAAGAGGCCATTATATATTGTGAATATAGTCATAATCAACCATGGCTTAACATACAGTACCTACTTTGCTTAAATAAAACCAAATGTGTGTATGTGAACCTCACCATCATTTTGTTGTTGCTAAAAGCACCTTCATAGTAGAGGCCGAATTGTGTAACAACAACTCCGTTCCCCTGACGCTGATCATCCAGCCACATGCCCATGTACTTCTCCCCTCTGTTACAAACAACAGTCAGTATAATGCACATATACTTACTCTTGTCTTAATGTGTATGATACGTTTAAAGACCCCCTGTGGTGAAAAACAAGTTTTTAATGTTGTTTATATGTCATTGTGGTGTTTTTAATATGCTTTGAACTACCATTGCTGAGTATTTTCTCCTTGAAACTGCAGTGTGTTTCTGACGTCACAAATTGCCTTGTAACCAATCATGTCAACGAGTGGATCTCTGAGCTAGTGCGGGGCTAATTTCCATATTCATAAAACCACGTATACTAAATGAGGCAAGGGTGTAGTTACATTCAAGCTATTTTAAGGCATGAAGACTTTTGTTTTCAAGGGGAAAAAAAACGTTTTAATATGTCATTTTGGTGATCAAAGATGAGTTTAAGGGATCAAAATATTGACTACAGGGGGACTTTAAAACATTTCAATTCAAGTCATATAAATGCCACAACCATTTATGCGACCTCAACCCTTCTTGTCTATTTGCATACCTGGTGATGTCATCAAAAACTCCATAGCCAGATTTTTTGTCGTACTGCCACTGGCCGATGAAGACACTGGGAGAGGTGGAATTCAGCTTCCCACTACGCAACATCCCATGACCATGACGCATGTTATCTTGAAACGAGCCCTCGTACACTTCACCAGATGAATACCTGAACACAAACACACTCTGTCAGTTCCATGAAATCATATCACAATTTGATTTTCAGTTTATATTTGTTTTTTTTTGTTTTTTTTATTTATTTGATCAAATCTCAAAAGACTTGTGCTTGCCATCACAGAATTTATATTTTAATATACACTCGCCTAAAGGATTATTAGGAACACCATACTAATTCTGTGTTTGACCTCCTTTCGCCTTCAGAACTGCCTTAATTCTACGTGGCATTGATTCAACAAGGTGCAGAAAGCATTCTTTAGAAATCTTGGCCCATATTGATAGGATAGCATCTTGCAGTTGATGGAGATTTTTGGGATGCACATCCAGCACACGAAGCTCCCATTCCACCACATCCCAAAGATGCTCTATTGGGTTGAGATCTGGTGACTATGGGGGCCATTTTTGTACAGTGAACTCATTGTCATGTTCAAGAAACCAATTTGAAAGGATTTGAGCTTTGTGACATGGTGCATTATCCTGCTGGAAGTAATCATCAGAGGATGGGTACATGGTGGCCATAAAGAGATGGACATGGTCAGAAACAAGGCCGTGGCATTTAAACGATGCCAAATTGGCACTAAGGGGCTTAAAGAATGCCAAGAAAACATCCCCCACACCATTACACCACCACCAGCAGCCTGCACAGTGGTAACAAGGCATGATGGATCCATGTTCTCAATCTGTTCACGCCAAATTCTGACTCTACCATCTGAATGTCTCAACAGAAATCGAGACTCATCAGACCAGGCAACATTTTTCCAGTCTTCAATTGTCCAATTTTGGTGAGCTCTTGCAAATTGTAGGCACTTTTTCCTATTTGTAGTGGAGATGAGTGGTACCCGGTGGGGTCTTCTGCTGTTGTAGCCCATCCGCCTCAAGGTTGTGCGTGTTGTGGCTTCACAAATGCTTTGCTGCATACCTCGGTTGTAACGAGTGGTTATTTCAGTCAAAGTTGCTCTTCTATCAGCTTGAATCAGTCGGCCCATTCTCCTCTGACCTCTAGCATCAACAAGGCATTTTCGCCCACAGGACTGCCGCATACTGGATGTTTTTCCCTTTTCACACCATTCTTTGTAAACCCTAGAAATGGTTGTGCGTAAAAATCCCAGAAACTGAGCAGATTGTGAAACAACCATGCCACGCTCAAAATTGCTTAAATCACCTTTCTTTCCCATTCTGACATTCAGTTTGGAGTTCAGGAGATTGTCTTGACCAGGACCACACCCCTAAATGCATTGAAGCAACTGCCATGTGATTGGTTGATTAGATAATTGCATTAATTAGAAATTGAACAGGTGTTCCTAATAATCCTTTAGGTGAGTGTATTTTTAATCAAAGACATGCAGACTTTGTGAGCATAAGAGACTTCTTTCAAAAACATAAAAAAAATCATACAGACCCAAACCTTTTAAAAACAGTAGTGTACATACAGAAATATACATTCACATTACAGAAAAATAATAAAAACACACAACCACCAACCTGAATGTTCCAAAGCCGTGCATCTTGCCATCCTTCCATTGCCCTTGGTAATGATCACAGCTGTTCAGGTTTTTGTTCGGCACAACATAATCTCCAAATCTGCAAAGGAAACAATATTTGAAATATTTCCAAAAATGGAAAATAAGATAAATCAGCATAATAATCGAAAAAAACAAACAAACCCATCTTCAAGGCCATTCTTGAAAGCCCCTGTGTACATTCGTCCATCGAGCCATTTGACCACGCCCCTAGAAAACACACATAGCCAATCATCATCATCATCATCATCTCTCTTTTAAGAAAACTTTCACACCCACAACTCCCTGTCCAATGACCTACCGCCCGTGTGGTTTCCCTGAGACCCAGCGGCCCTCATACGTGGCCTCCTTGAGCCGACTGTCTTTGTAGAACGTGTACGATGCCGTCCGTGAAATGGGTGGGTCTGTTCTCTGTGTCACCCCTGTAGTAGGCGGTATCCCATCATGCCCCAGTCCGCTAAGCGCCTGCTCCACCGCCTGGTTTATAGACCGAAACCACTTCGCCTGGGAAGCAGGTCATCACTGTTCAACCAACTATGCATGTTTGGTTCTGTAAAGCTCATTATCATTTCGAATCAAGCTGGGTCTACCTTTTCAGCTGGAGACGAGGCCAGCAGAGTGAATGTCTCTTCTGGTGAAGTCACTTTTAAACCATATCTGCACAAAACAACACAAAATCAACACACTGTATATGTTGTTTTATACACTTTACTACTAAATAATTCTACTATAAATGACTCGCACACTCACAGGCCCGTGTTCTCCTCAGAAATCGGCTCCACCCACAGAGTAGCCAATGGGAAGATGTGATGAGTGGAAAACTGGGAGGGATTAAAAAAGAAATAACTAAAGCAAGTAACAATATCCTGAAAATGAATGCACTAGACATGTACACAATTCTGCTTCCCCTTTCCTGATCATATATATCAGTACAATATCAGTTATCAGCAGATATTTGGAGATCTCTATATTTATTTATTGAATATTTAATTGTGCATGCATTTCCCCTGTTTTTTTCTCTCATTTAGATTACCTTTACATCACTCAAAGTTATTTAAAATCACTAATAACTTAATCACTTTATTACAATTTAATTTATGGCAAATGTCAAAATTAATATCCATTTGTCATACTCTTACACTCCTGTTCAAAAGTTTACCAGATTATTTGTTTTCTCACCAAGGCTGCATTTATTTGATCAAAAATGACGGGAAAAAAACATAAAAATGTAAAATATTATTTCAATTTAAAATAACTGTTTTCTACTTGAATATATTTTAAAATGTGTTTTACTCCTGTGATGGGAAAACTAAATTTTCAGCATCATTACTCACATGATCGTTAAGAATTCATTTTAATATGCTGATTTGGTGCTCAAGAAACATTTCTTTTTATCATGCTTAATATTTTTGTGGAAACCGTGCTACATTTTTACAAGATTCGTTGATGAATAGAACGGGATTTGAAATAGATTTCAATTGAACAATGTAAATGTCTTTACAGATCAATTTAATGTGTCATTAAATGAATAAAAGGGTTAAAAAACATACTTAAAAGGACTTAATTTAGATCTGTGATTTATTTTTTAACTTATTTAGACAAAAAAAAGTATAGAATCTGAATATCTAAAGATCTTGGATGTCATATGGTTTGTTTACAAGCTAAATTGTATCTGGTAAACTGATCTGGTAAACCAACTGTGAATTGATGTACAGTTGTTGAATAACAAAACTGTAGTTTTTTTAAAATGTAAAATATTGAACATATTGTTATTTTTCCTAGGAGCACATTTTTGTTCTTTTGGGATGGAAAGGGATAATGCGGATGAAAGGACAAACGGACAAATATAGACACTGTAAGAGGTGTCGAGGGGAAAAAAACAGGGATAAAAATAATGTATTATCATCTCAAATACTGATACATTCACTAAGACAAGAATCAGCATTAAACAGAACCACTACTGTATAACATAAAACCATCCAGCACAACATGCCCCTTAACTACAACCAGATACAGGTACATTTATGCATAAGTGTTATGACGTATCTTTAACAAAGGGTTTGCAAGCAGGAAGCCTTGGAATGACCCAACCAGATGTACTGTCATCTTACTAGAGTTTTATACCACACAGAAACAAGACATTTTGGACAAGGTAGAGTGTAAGCACTAAAACTACAGGTTCAAACTGAACTCAAACTATTACAAATATACGTCATTTATAATAATTGATTACATTCTCTTTAAAGGAATATTTAGAGTTAAATACAACTTAGGTTTTCCTAAAAGAGCATCTGTGGCCACAGAAAATCATTTTTGATTCGTCCATCGGTTTGTTGAGAAATATGCTTTTATTCTATATGGGTTTGTTTTTGGTGTACATTATTTTGGGGTTTTTGATATATATTGTAATTAACTTGAAAATGCAGTCCTATACATATATATATATTTGTTATTGTAATTTAGCTCTTTCTTTAATGTCATAATTCATTTCTTTCATTGTTATTTAGGTGTTTTGGCCTCTCTCTGCACAGTATATGGATTCTATTTTCTAGTTATTATTGCATACATTTTATATCGTGGAAATATACTAAACTAAATGCTTCAAACTGAAGCCTATGGAGAGACTGGACAGTACAACAAGAAGTTTAAAACATGACACAGCCACACTGTTGCAAAAGGATAATAATATGACATAACGTTTATGTTTAACTTTACTTTTGACTCTAAGGGTGATGCAGTACAATTCCTATGCATGTGTACAAATTTTTTTGTGCTATACAAATGGCAAATAAAACTGAACTTAGCTGACGTAACTAATCATCATCAATGAAGTGACCCCTTTTTGGCCCCCATTGACTTCCATAGTGATTTCTTTCCTACTATGGAAGTCAATGGGGTCCATCAACTGTCTGGACATCAACATCCTTCAATATATCTTCCTTTGTGTTCAGAAGAAGAAAGAAATTCATCCAGGTTTGAAACAACTTGAGGGTCGTAAATGATGACAGAATTTTCATTATGAAGTGAACTATTTCTTTAAGCATGTAACGCATAATCAGAAATTCATCCACCTTGAAGTCTTACTTCAAACTGACTTGCCCCAAAGACTTCTATTATAAGTGCATTAGTTATTAAAGAAAACTAAATTTAAAAGTAAAACAATAATTGCTTGAAATAAAATAAACATTAGAATCACAATGATACTAAAATAACACTGATCAACATACACATTTTTTTCATTGTAGGACGAGTCAAAATTATTTTCTGATTAAATGGATGCCAAAAGCTTTATTTAACTGGTAATATTCCTTTAACAGAAGCATTGACTAAACACTACAGCTGTAGGGTGCATCCTCGGGCACTAGGGGACAGTATGCTATGGAGGAAACTTCATTCATACAGCCCATACTTACAAGACTCTTATAGGGGACCATGCCCTACCAAAACAAAGATAAACATCACTAAAACATCAGTCATTGGAAACAGATTGTTAGTCTGGCCCTATAAGCGAATATAAAAAAGAAGTGAAAGCATTGAGTAAAGAAAGGAGGAGGAAACCAACAGAAAAGGCAGAGATAAAGCAGAAACGATACTGAAATGGCGGTGGAAACTAACAAATAAAGAGGCAAACCTGTGCGTGAACAAGCGCATCGTTGAACAGCATGAACCAGTTGACGGAAAAACGTCCCGCGTTCTGAAGAGTCAAAGCCTTATTGCTGCTCTCACAGATCAGCCGACGGGATGGTTTACGGAGAGAGTCCTGCGAAAAGAGGAGAACTCTTAATTAACAGCCCAACTTTGTTCACGTTCTCTCTCTCCTCCACAAGTGCTCAGCAGGAAGAACACCTGGCTGTCTGGTGTGCATGAAACTGACAGGTAAAGTGCTTCTAAGGGCCTGAGACAACAGCAAGGTGACTCACGGTCATCTTCCCGGGAAAGCTCTTCCAGAAGTGGAGCGTGCACTCGGCTTCCTTCCTCCTCCTCTTCAGATGAAGAGCCATGGATTCATACTTTGAGCAGGCATCCTGCAGCTTCTGATAATCCACAGAACTCTGCCACACAGAGACAGAAATTACATTTATGTAATGATAGTGTTTCGATTGAAAATCAGCTTACACTGCAGCTCTGCTAGTATTGTTATTTTTGAATAGAATTAAAATTATCATTACACACATATAATTATTATTACAAATTTTTTTTTTTTGCTTTTTCAGGTTGGTTTAGTTTATCATTTGATAACAAAATTAGAAACCTGACCAATCTGAATAAATAAAAAAAAAAATTTAAAAAGGAGGGGAAAATTATTATTGTATTTATTTAAAAATACATATTGATATAAATTATATATACAAATATATATATATATATATATATATATATATATACACACATACATATATATATATATATATATATATATATACACACATACATATATGTATGTACTGTCAAATCGATTAATCGCATTTGATTGAAAATCAGCTTACACTGCAGCTTTGCTAGTATTGTTATTTTTGAATAGAATTAAAATTATCATTACACACATATAATTATTATTACACTTTTTTTTTTTGCTTTTTCAGGTTGGTTTAGTTTATCATTTGATAACAAAATTAGTAACTCGACCAATCTGAATAAATCAAAAAAAAAAAAAAAAAAGGAGGGGAAAAAAAAAATAAAAAAAAAAAATATATATATATATATATAAATTGATGTATTTATTTAAAAATGCATATTGATATAAATTATATATACAAATATATATATATATATATATATATTAGTACTGTCAAATCGATTAATCGCATCTAACATAAGTTTGTTTACATAACATATGCATGCAAGTATATATATATATTTATTATGTCTTTGTATGTGTGTGTGTGTATATATATATATATATATATATATATATATATATACTGTATATACACACGCATTTTTATACATATATATTTATTGCACACACAGACATAATGTTATGTAAACAAAAACTCACGATTAATCACGATTACTCGATTTTTACAGCACTAATATATATATATATATATATATATATATATATGTATTTATATAAAATATTTTTTTTTTCTATATATTCAGGTTTGATGGGTTTATCATTTTGTATGTTTAATGAAAAGTTTTATATTAGGTGATATTTTTATTTTATTTGTGGTTAATTTCAGCTAAAAGTGGTTCGAACAAGCATTTTCTCAGACCACTGTTGTATTAGTTGTTTATGAAGATGAATCAGAGCCAGCAAAACATTACAATATCCCTTTACATTACCCCATTATGGTTTCATGCTGTAACAATAAAACATAAAAAAATGATGTGAAATGAAAGTTTTACAGTGTTTCCAGTAAGTACCCACCACCTCATAGCAGGTAGCCAGTTTTAGCAGCAGTCGTCCATATTCGTGCAGGTGCTTTATGGGCAGGTAAAAGAGATGAGACAGAACATCCGCTAGAGGCAAACCCTCTTCAGAACATTCAGACAACCTCTGAACAACCTCTGCCCCTTTGCCAAACACATCACTTCAAAACAGAGTCAAACAGACAGATTATTAATACAATGTTAATCCAAATCAATCTGTAATCATGTTAACTTTAGCCCATTTGGTACAGGGCATTACACACACACATATACCACTCACTGGCAAGGTTTTACAAGGGCTAGAAACCCTCCCATGACTAAGAGATCCCCCACAGCAGAACAGTACCTGCATGACACAATGAGACATATAAGGGCATTATTATAGCTAGAAAAACATGATGACTTGAGAAGAAGGTTACATAATAAGCATAATAGGGGCACTTTCATTTCAGTTACTTAAAAATAAAAAATCAATACAATTTTCCAGGTTTTTCAGGACCTTACACACTCAAAACTTGGCCGCACTGGGAAAACCCCTCAACTAGAGATTTCCGATTCTGGATAAAATATCTGACTCTTAAAAATAATGACTTTCAAAGAAAATGGAAACTTATGATCATCTTGAAGAACGTAAAGGTCCAACTGAGGTTCTGTCTGATTAAAGACATTTGAGGATTTTTTTAAATTATACATTATATTAAAAGTATTAAATATGTACAGCTGGAATATATTTCTTTTGAATTAGTAGCTAATTCATTAACTTACAGAAAACATCCTGACATTCAGAAACACAGCAGATTTACAGTAATCTGATACTGTGTTTATCTGGTCAGACTGCACTCAACAGGTGTCTTGTGCTCTGGCTCTTTCCAGTGGCGAAACAAATCGATGAACATTGAACAGGCAATGCTATTTAAACATGTCTGATATTGTGTTAAAAGGCACCTATTATGCCCCTTTTTACAAGATGTAATATTGGTCTCGGGTGTCCCCAGAATGTATTTGTGAAGTTTCAGCTCGAAATACCCCACAGTTCATTTATTATAATCATTTGAAAATGTCATTTTTGGGGCCTTTTTAAAAATGAGCTGTTTTGGTGTACACGACCTTAAATGCAAAAGAGGTGCATATCCCCGCCCTGCCTTTGGATGAGGGCGTAACTTGATACCTATGGCAGTCGGTCTAAGTAGAAGGGCTGAGAGAGTGAGAGAAACCGCTGTTTTGAATGTCATTCAGCCGTACATGTTTGAGTCGGAATATATAAATAGTCTCTGATCAGACCCAGATGACGAAGAGACTCCGGCAGAATAAACACAAATGAGAATGGACCAGTACATCTCGGTGTGGTTATTTGATACATTTATGTACTTATAGAGTTGTAATCGCGTCCCCTTTGAAATGATGGATGTGCAACACACACACACAGACACACACAAACACTAACGTTGGTGCAATTTATTGAAACTACATACACTTTCTGTGATAAGGTTTGCTATGTACAAGCGAAATTACATTTATGCGAGGGACCTGTTGCGTCATGTTTACTTGTCATACAGGTGCTTCTGTGGCAAATGTGAGAAGATGGCGCTGAATCTTAGAACAGCTCATTCTGAGACAGTGCACATGATTTATTGAGATTGTAAAAAAAACACTGGGTGGATTTTTATCATTCTAGGGTGGTTTTGCCCACACACTGCCAACACACATGTATGTTCAAACACCATGTAAAAGTGAATTTTCCATAAAGGTGCCTTTTAAATATGGTCATGGCTATGACACATCTACAAAGTACAGGGCAAAGAGTAACAAACAACATTCAACATCATAATCCATCCGCTGAGGGAACCACTTCATGACTTCAGATTCTTTAATCGTGTGTGTGTGTGTGTGCTGTATACTTGCTCTGAATATGTGTCCAGGAACAGATGTGCGTCGTCAAGAATAACAAGACCTCGGATGTCACGTGAACGCCGCAGGAAAGTGGTTAGAGAGGCCGAGTTTTGACCCGTGAGCTGAGACAGCCGACTCAGTCGTCCAATCAGATTTTGCAGGAGCCCTGCAGTGGACTGACCGAGGCCGGAGCTAAGCGAATCTTAAAAAAAATTAAAAATAAATAACGTAAGACTTAAAATCCCAAAAGATTATTCAGACATACAGGACAGGACATTTCTTGTTTTGGGCTTTATTTCTAAAAAAAAATAGCAACATTTCTAATAATTCTGAATAATTCTATATTTTTAAGTGTAACTGCATAATAAAAAAAATGTAAATTTTGAGAGCCATCTTTAAATATGTACACAAACACCATATTATACTACAGCATGTAGGTGTTAGTTTAGCATCATAAATATACTATTATATTTTTTTTATATTTTGAATTAAATTATATTTTTATATTTTCACTTTAATTTTAGTTCAACATAATATAAATGCTTTGTATATGTGTCATAATTTATTAGTATTTAATCATTATTTACTAATTTGAGTTATTTTAGTACTTCAACTTTAAATGAAAATGAGAAATTTGGCCTTGTTTTTTTCATTTAACATTAGTTTCATTTCAAGTAACACATTTTTGTATGGTTTTAAATTTAGTTAAAAATAAAAACCTTGTTGCATGCATCAAAGAGGTTGTAAATTATTTAATTAATTTCAATTTCACTGAGTTAGACACACACGCACACACACTGTCATACCCAGTTTGAGCAATGGCTGGAGCAGAAGACTCTTGATATTGCTGAGTTTGCAGTAATATTTCCTCTCTGCAGCCGCCAGCTCATGCAGACTAGCAATAAAACCCATTACATTACGATCCGTCAGCGCCGCACAGGTCCATCCACCTGCACACACACTGCTTACATAGCCCAACTACCACACAACACACAATAAAAAGAGACATAAGTTATGTAAATAACAGATAACACATCATCAATGTACAAGAATTCGAGAATATAGTTTATTATATACAATAGCAATTCGAAGTGATGCTGATGATGATGATGATAATGATGACAAAGGCTTGCTCACATTCATACAAAAGGGCAGCAGCACTGGTTGCTGTGTGTACTCTCCGGTCTGCTCCTCCTCCTGCGTTTGCTCCGCCACTTCTTTCACCTGCTGCCCGCTGTAGTACAAGATTGGCTGCATACAGTCTCCATCAGCCAATAAGAGAGTGTGTTGCTGCCCCGCCCCGATATCCCACACGCGAATCCCATCTGACAGCTGCGCAAAGACAAAAGAGGACAAACAAAGCAAAAGAGAACATACAAAACAAACAAGTCATGAATCAGTATGTCAATGTCAACACAAATTTGGGCACTAGCAAGGGCCTTAATCCACTAAACATTGGAACACTGATGACTTGATTCACTGTTGCATGATTGTGTAATTGCGCATTAAACCATCATTGGTAATTCAATAACATCAGGAACAATATCCCATTGGTCTAAATGGTTTTGTTTATCATGAATCTTCCTTGTAGATGTTGTATAATACAGTGGTCTCATGAAATATGTACTCATCCTATATTTTAAATGGTTTAAGTGAACAGCTGATGCTCACTTGTTTTTACAGTGCATTTTGGGAATTGTTAAGTATTTAATGTTTAAGTGCACCCTTGACAGTGTTCTGACAACTGAATTAGGGAGCTGACTAAGACTCATCCAAACAAACTAAATACATGTGTACACTAGATGTCTAAAGAAGACTCACATTGCTGAAAGTAGTGTGTGAGTGTCAAACGTTGCAATATTCCTACACACAACTAGGCCAGAAAAAAAAAAAACTGTTTTTGGGGACGGCCTCAAAACTAAAAAGAAATTGAAATTATTTTCGTTTCTTAATTCTAAAAATCTAAAAGTTTTCTTTTTTGGTAGTGTCATTCTGTTATATATTATTATATAATTTAATAACTGAATGGTATACCCTTATTTAAGTACCAATGTGTGTTGTTATATCGATACAATATTACAGAAATGATATGAGAAATAAAATGTATGTATTTGATTTAATAAAATTTACAAATGTTATAGAATCACATTTAAATATAATATATATATATATATATATATATACACTACAGTTCAAAAGTTTGGGGTTGGTAAGATTTTCCTATACAGTAAATACTGTAAAAATACAAAATATTATTAAAGGGATGCTCCACTTTTTTTTTGGAAAAAGGTTCATTTTACAACTGCCCCAGAGTTAAACAGTTGAGTTTTACCGTTTTCGAATCCATTCAGCCGATTTTCTGATATTTGGAAGAATATCAGTAACCACTAACCAGACAGTTTCTGGTCTCATTGACTTCCATAGTAGGAAAAAATATAAACTATGGAAGTCAATGAGACCAGAAACTGTCTGGTTACGAATATTCTTCTAAAAATCTGAAAATCAGCTGAATGGATTCGAAAACGGTAAAACTCAAATGTTTAACTCTAGGGGAGTTGTAAAATGAGCCTATTTCCAAAAAAAGTGGAGTATCCCTTTAATTGATTGTAAAATGTAATATATTTCTGTGATGGTGAAGCTGAATTTTCATCAACAATTTCTCCAGTCTTCAGTGTCACATGATCCTTCAGAAATCATTCTAATATGCTGATTCAAGAAACATTAGCAGATCAAGAAACATTTTTATTATTACCACAGTTGTGCTGTTTAATATATTTGTGGAAACGTGATTTTTTTTATTCACGATTCTTCAAAAACCAAAAGAGCAGCATTTAGCTGAAAATGTATTTGATAAATATCTTTATTTTTATCCTTGTTGAATTAAAGTATTACTGTCTTTCACTTTTGAATGTTTGTGAAGAAAATATAGATTAAAAATTGACAAATATTAGCTTTTTAATGACTTTTTTAAAAACCATTTTAATTTAATAAAAAAAATTTAATTAAAAAACTAAAATTTCCAAACTTTTTGATCCATTTCAAAATGTTATTCTCCCTGTAGTGATATTTTTCTGTATTATGTATATGCACAATATACCTTGGCTAAATGAGGGAAGCTGGTGGGTGATTCCATGTGTCCCAACTGCCCAGAAGTGTTACATCCCCAGGAGAACACCTGCAATACACACACACATTACAGGAGGATTACACTAATACACACTCACCGCTCAAGAGAAAAGCCACAGATGTGCAGGTGAAGTGTGTCACCTGTGATTGGGCGGTCAGGGCGAGAGAGTGATGAGCACCTGCAGCCACTCTCAACACCTCTTTACCATTCAGACTCTTTACACAGACGGGCTGCAGTCTGGAAAGAAAGAGGGAGAGAAATCACTACATTGGGTTCCTCTGTGAAGCATCTAATGAGGCTGTCCTCATTTTGGCAGAGCGCATTGAATTTAAAGCCCTGGACTCTTATGTAATTCACAAGTTGTTACTGAAGACTGGAGCTCTTCGTGCCAACCCTGATGAAGGAAAGACTCTGACCTGGGAAGGAGGTCACCATGTCCAAGCTGCCCTTCCTGGCCTCGGCCCCAGCTCCACACTTCTGTCTGCAAAGAAGGCAGGTGGGCATCGGCCTCAGGTATGCCTCCTGGAGTGAGCGGGATGGCCCGTGCACGGGGGCGGCTCGTTCGCCGCAAAAGACGAGGAGACACTGAGAGAGTAGGAACGAGAGAACGAGAATAAACAACAAAACATATTCAAAGAAATTTGGAACCTCAATATACAAGACCCTATCATACACCCGGCGCAATGCAGTGTTTTTTAGTTTCAGCCCGACGCAATTATCATTTTCACGTCCTGCGCCACATAGTTTAATTGCAAATGCATTTGCGCCCATCTGTGTGCCCATGCTCTGAAAACGAGGTGTGTTTAGGCGCAATGTTGGCGTGTTGCTATTTTGAGGCAACTGAAATAGACTGAGCCATTGACCAACAAAAACGTCTTTACACGAGAACGCTCGCGGCTAAAAACGTAAAAATATTTGATCGGATGTGCCTTTCGTTTACACGGCGACGGTGTTTTTGAGGCTTAAAAACGCAAAAAAGTGAAACCACCCTCCAGAGTGGAAATCTTAAAAACGCTCCACCGTCGCGTTCCCGTGTAAAGGGTAAAAACGCAAAAGTCTGCTTGACAGTGAATGTTGTACGCAGGCGCGCGGACTTGGTGTTGCTGTAGTATGCACTCCGAGCTACGTGGAGTGCATACTACATTGAATTTCACAGACTTTTGTGTCACCATTTTCCCACTCAAAACGCTCGTCTAAACGCAGAATAAAAAGTGATGACGCAACGCCACTTTCGCGTTTTCTCTTCAGAATCGTTTCCGTGTAAACGAAGCCTTAAAGGGTGCTTTAGTAATGTGCGCCTATAGGTGGGTCCAACACGAGCGTACACTCTGCTTAGTACACACACAGGAACGCACAGCAGCACACAAACATGCCAAATATTAAAAATAAAAGTATTACATTGTTTTTGGCCTGATGGTCACCTCACGCACGAGCAGATCCGTTTATTCGCTAGAGAAGAGTTCAGTTAGCCTGGTTAAAACCAGACCATTCTCAGTTGTAACCGAGTTATGGTCTGGCAAAGCGTCATAGACAAATAATTTCCAGAGGACGTTGCGGATAGACCTAAAACCAATCAGAGCGATGAAGGAGATGACGTATGCAGAGCGGCGGAGAAACATCTCCGATTGTTGTTCTTCACTCGGTTTTTAACAAAAAGGAAACGTTCAAATCACTTAAAACAGACACGATAGCTGATTCGAACGAGTGATGTTCGATGGCGGCATCCATCTTTGTAATGTGGGCTACAAAATCTGCTTCAAAATCCCAGTGCTGTCGTCATCGTGTAAAGCCCGCCCCAACGTATCTGATTGGTGTCTTGATTTCGACCGATTGGAAGTGGGCTTGAATGAGCTCTTTGCCAGACTAGCTTTCAGAGCAAATCTAAAATTGCCAGAAATTTTTCCCAAGCTAACGTTCAGTCTTTCCGCTCGCAAATCCCACCATGTAAATAGCGAATCCGCCATGACACGAGCACAACTGGCTTTTAAAGGGAATGGGAAAAACTCTACTCTCTTGCAAGTTACACGCAAAACACACCCATTACTCATTGAGAGATTAGGGACAACCATTTTGGACCATTTTTCCCGTCGTTAAACTAGCAAAAGTGGATTCGGACACGGCTTTAGTGCCGTGTGCTTTAGATCATGAGCTTAGATCATTAAAATAGGGCCCTTAGAGGCAGAACACAATCCACTTCCAAACAAAGACAGATCATAAGAAAATGCAACTCTGTCAGATTGTTCCTCATAGAATATGCATTAGTTTGATTCTGCTGTATGAACACAAACAAAGAGCATAGGGAAAATTCCCATGATTTATTTAACAGCACAGACGAAGACCCACAGACTCGGCTAACTTCAGTTCAACTCTCTGTAAAACACACTCATATATACACGGTATGGCCAGGTGCACACACAAATAAACACACACAGACTTCTGTCATGCTGCGTTATGTTCCAGCCCCACTGGGGTCCATCTGTCACGCAGGAGGGGGCGAGGAGACGAGAAAAGGTGTGTATGTAGCAGGTAGCTGGACGCCATTGTCTTCACTAGCCTGTGTATCAGGCTTCAGCGGATTTATGAACTCAGACAAACACACAACCAGGCTGAGGTACACTGTTAAAAATAAAGGCTCTTTACTGGCATCGATGGTTCGCTGAAGAAGAAGAACCATGAACATTCCTTTTCATTGTACAAAAGGTTCTTTATATTTTCATTCTAAGAAGAAAATGTTTCTGGGAAATGGAACTGATCACTGAAAGGTTCTTTGGCGAAACCAAAATGGTTATTTCCCCTTTGAGAAACTTTATTTTTAAGAGTGTGTCCTGGAGCCTCATGAGCAGAGAGGTCCAAAATAAATTCTCATGTCACACACATACTCAGCAAACTAAATGTAAATCACTTTAAAAACATGCAAAGCACTAGAGCAGAAGGTTTCTGACATCTCTGGAAAGTTTTGATTACATAAATTAAAAGAGGGATGTATTCATGCATCTACAACCTGCTCTACAACCTGCTTGTTAATTAAAATCAGAAGGTCTACTTCTGACTAAATTGAATTTCACAAAGTGTCAACAACATGACTTGGTCAAATTTGTCCCTAAACAGAAGTATAAAAAATAAATGAAGCAAGAATTTTCTGCATTATGCCATTTTTCTGAAAATTATGCATATTTTCACCCAAATTTAATTACTCTGTGAAAATTCAAATAAAAATTTGAATTCTAAAAAATGTCTTTAAACATGCAATACGGTTCAAAAGTGTGGGATCTTTAAGATGATTTATTGTTTTTAAAAGATGTCTCTATGCTCACCGAACCTGCATTTATTTTCTTAAAATTCAAATAAAAAATACAAATTACAATACCTGCTTTCTATTTGAATATGTTTTGAAATGTAATTTATTCCTGTGATTGCAAAGCTGAATTTTCAGCATCATTACTCCAGTCTTCAGTGTCACATAGTCCTTCAGAAGTCATTCTAATATGCTGATTTGGTGAAAACAGTTGCACTTCTTAATGTTTTGGATGTGTTAATGTTTCTTTTTATTTTTAAGAAATTATTATACTGCCCTTTAATTTACTCTGTAGTCTGATTTCAATAAAAATAAACTTTGTGTTGAAGTATTTTTTTTTATTTCTATATTCACAATTGCTATAGAATATAATAACTAAAGAAAATGAGACTTAAAAAAACTGTAAATTAAAATAAGAAACTAAAGTGATGTCAAATGTCTAGAACACATTACAGTAATATGAATTTGGGTGTAAAATGTGCTTGATTAAATGTCATGAAAATGATGATAATCATAATGCAAATAGTTTTCATGCAAAAAAAAATCATTTTCATTTTAAAGGAGTAGTTCAATTTGCTAACAATTTACTCACCCCCATATCATCCAATATATCCATGTCTTTCTTTCTTCAGTCGAAAAGATGAAAACATTCCAGGATTTTTCTCCATATAATTCACTTTACAGGTCACCAAACAATTCAAGGTCCAAAAGACAGTTTCAATGCAAACTGCGAACTGTTCAAAGGGCTTTAAACGATTCCAGACAATGAATAAGGGTCTTATCAAGCGAAACGATCGCTCATTAACAAAAATAAAATAAAGTTTAGTCATTCAATGAACGAATTGACTCGGAAAAAGATTCGTTCATTTTGATAAACAAGTTAGTACAGGAGAGTCAAGAACGTGCATCACAGAACAGAGCAAGGCCACGATTTGAGCTTATAAAACTTAAACTTAGTTTATCGTCTGGAATCGTTTAAAGCCCTTTTAACAGTTTGCAGTTCGCACTGAAATTGTCTTTTGGACCTTGAACCGTTTGGTTCCCACTGAAGTCCATTATATGGTGAAAAAACCTGGAATGTTTTCATCAAAAACCTTAATTTCTTTTCGACTGAAGAAAGAAAGACATGGACATCTTGGACGACATGGGGTGAGTAAATTATCAGCAAAAGTTTTTTTTAAAGTGAACTACTCCTTTAAGCTAAAATTTGTTTCCGTGAGATTCACTAATAAATCTACTTCTAATCTACGCTTTGTACAACTGCAACTACACATAAATACCTTCAGATGTTGAGTAGGATGCCCACACCGTCACCTCAAATGCTGCATTGTCTGTAACGATGGCAACAGCAATATATAGAAAACCTGTCCACAAGTGCCGTCGGTAGAAATTTGAAGGCAAAAAAAAGCCATGCCTTTAACAAACACATTACAGTACGCATAAATTTCCCAATCTGTGATTTGGAGGGATTTACTCTGAACTGAACGAACTAAGCCTTAACATACTGCACAGGATTAAGATTAAACATATTTACTAACTAATAAAAGAATACATTAGCAATTCTCCCTCTGGTTCACATGGGTCTAAAGAGTGGTACAGTCTAGTTACGCCCTCTACACTCAGATGATTATAAAACCAGACCATTTTCTTGAAATATTTATGAAATTTGTTACAAAAAGGAATGGAGTTGTTAGTTATTCATAGCCTCTGCAGCAGAAAAACCAAGCGTGTTGACGGAATAGCAAATGCTCTCGACAACTAGTCCATGCTCATGAAAACTCAAGCGTAGACACACATCCCCACACAGACTTACGGAGACGGTACACTGGGTGTAAGAGAAGGAGAGCGTGTGTACCCTGAGAGAGCAGGCCAGGCAGGGACAGGCGACGGCTAAGCTCCGCCTCCTCCTCGCGGATGTCCCCCAGGCTGGAGCTTTTCTTCCCCTGCATGGGCTCCTCCAGACGGAGTCTCTCCTCCACACGCTCACGGCCCTCTCCTGGAGCCTGGAGCACAACAACTCTCCAATTCATTATTGAAATATAATCATTTACACAGTTACAATCATAACTTGTTTTCATAACTAATTTATTTAAACATTTATTAAAATAATAAAGACATTACTAATGGGTAAAGCAAATATAATGAAAATATAAGCTAATAAAGGGCATATATTAAGTGAAATTCTCCCTCTAGAGATCATTTCTCTAGTGAACACTAGTTCACTAGAGAAATGAAGACACTATGACTTGCCTGAGGTAAATTTAATGCTACGCGATATCTTCTCAAGCTGTTTTATTGACGCTTTTCTGTGTTTGAAACAAGATTACAAAACATATCTATGCAGAGATCATCTGTTCTTTTTCCTATTGTGGTGGTTAGCAAACATCGTTGCATTACCAAGCGCGCCCCCTTCTGGATTGGAGTGTGGATTGTCTGTGACTGACTCTATTTGTCGTCTGACTGTATAAACTGAACCGAATACATGTACTGTTACACCCAAAAATGACATAATTATATAGAAAATGTATCGGTTTAATAATGTTTAAAGAGCGTGATTCTGGCATGTCAATGTAATTAATATTTAACATAAAATACACACTGGAAAATACACTTACCCAGTATCCAATGACTTTTCTCAGAGAGAGAGCTTCATATGTGGACACTACACGTTCCCCCACTGCAGAGGCACAGGACACCACCAAGTTGTTCAATGCAGAGCCCATTGGAGTCACAGACTGGGCGACCGGGATCAAGGGGTCAGAGGTGAAAGGATCAGCAGGGTCACTGGAGAGCTGTGATAGGACAGATGTGAGCTGGACATGAGAGTTCTGAATTGCACATTTAGAAGAAAGTGAACAGTTTGAATTACGATGTCTTGGAATGGTCAACTTGTTGGACAGGGATGGTCAATAAACAAAAATATAGACATTTTTAGCTATAATATTTGTTAAAAGGGAAGTTGTCAACTTCTCGGGGTTTTAGCATGATGACGAACTAACAGTTAAAATGACAAAATCTGTTAAAACCATTTACTCATGCACCCTCATGTCATTCCAAACCTATATGACCATTTATTGGTTTTAGTGACCACTGACTTCCATTGTAATGACAAAAAACACTGAGACATTTCTCAAGACACCTTCTTTTATTTTCCACAGAAGATAGAAAGTCATACATTTTTGGAATGACACGTGGATGAGTAAATTATATATTTAAATTTTGGGCTAAATTATTTAATGAAAATTTTTGGGCCAAATTTATCCCTTTGGATATAGAGATATAGATATGTAGTTGTACATGTACATTTCAATCTATTTTCATATTATCATTTAGATTACTTCTGCCTGACTTAAGTTTTTTTTTTTTTAAATGCTAATTTAATAATATTGTTAAAAGTAATCTTCAACATAGTCTCCATTTTTTATACTGTACCATGTATATTATAATGTTGTAAAAAGCCAAAACTCACTTCTAACATTTACTATTACCTATTTTAGTTTTTGGTGTTTATTTTTAACTAATTAAGCCAAAATAGTACTGGATTTATAATGCCGGCCAGTTATCAGTTATCAGTATCAGCTACTGGTGCATTTACCCAATGCATTCTGTACAGCGACCTAACTGCTATCTTCATAACTATCGCACCATTTTAAGTGACAAAGTTAATAAAATTTATGTAGAGATATCCAACTAGGAGTGTTCATTTATCAACTTAATGTTTACGATGTCATATTCTGAATGTTCTGCTTATATAAACCCTAAACTTTGCAGTCTGATTCACCAAACTGGAAAAAGCCACCGATTATAATATCACCAGAACCATGACATAATGCCTTGATTTTACCTAAAAGTAAAGCTGAAAATATGACAGAAGAGCATTTTTTTAGCAAAAATTTTGCAAATATTTCGTCTCCTCCATTGACCAGTTCATAACATGTTAATACGCATATGCAATTTCGTACTAAGTAAAATGTACATAAATAGAGATCTTATTAAATAAAAACGCATCAAGCACTCCCTATGTGTGCAAGGTATTTTTAAATCTGATTATATCATGAAAATTATATCAGGTCTACACCACCCTTTTCGCTCCGATCGAGCTTTATCAGACCAATTAACTTGTTTATATGAAGTATTTTCAATCCGACTGAGCCAACTCATGGATTATTATTTGGATGCATGTAAACGTAGCTAGTGTTGTGCCAGAGACTAACCTGAGCAGAATGAAGTGTGCTGGGGGTCTTGGCGACGTGCTCTGCCAGGGCATGATCAGAGAGTCTCTTAAGATAGGCCTTCACAGCCTGCTCATCGGGGAATGGGGAGTACTTCCCCCCTGGGGCACGACAGCTGTCCGGCTCAAGGGTGCAGGACTCCGAGGCTTCCACACAAACCTCTTCATTTGCGACCGGAGCTTCATGTTCAGTCGAGACTTCTAAGGTTGGTTCTACAGGTTCTTGGCTAGATGCAGGAACCTGAATTTGGGGTTCGGAGGCAGGTGTGCTGTCAGGAAGAAGGGTAGATTCAGGGATTGTGCTGGAGGTGGGTGATCTTGGAATCTGGGTGGGCATGGATGGAACGGGTTCTGTAGGAGAGCTCTTGCCTTGTTGAACCTGTTCTGGGCTGCCCTCTAATGCAGACTTGGTCCCGCTGCTGTCAAGCTCAACACCTAGTGGACAGTGATGGCCATCAGAGATGATCACATGGTCCTCTTTGTCAGTCATAGTGTACAGCAGCTGATGGCACTGACCGCACTTGTCTTGAGGGGGTTTTCGAGGCACCAGAGCCTCAGAACTTCGCACCACAGCCAGGCTGTGAGCGGTTCCACAGGCCACCTGCAACACGTGCCTTCCCGCCAGGGGCTCTACCTTCTGGGGCTTCCAGACAGGAAACGTGGAAGTGTTCAGGCCCAGCTGGCACCCGCTGCCCCAAGCCCAGACTTCGTGCTTGGATGAAAGAGCGAGAGTGTGCTGGTCCCCACATGCCACCTCCAGGATCTTCACCGTCTGAGGGGGGGTGAACTCAGAGTCAAGCACGCCCACAGGGGTGGGGTTAGGGATAACAGAGAGTCCCAAAAGGCCACACTGGCCGTGAGCGTTTTCTCCCCACATGTGCACGCCTCCATCCTCCGTTACTACTCCACTGTGGGCGGAGCCAGCAGCCACAAAAACAACATGTTGTTCGCTAAGCACCGCCTCCAAAACGGGCTCAGTCGCTACTGATGATGTTTGGTTCTGTTTCCAAGGCAATTCACCAAAACTGTAGACTTGGCCCCCTAAATATAGTATAGAAATGATTACATATTGGGATTTGCCATATCATTGCATATCAAAATGTATGAGTAGCAAGCAATAGTTGAATCTTTTCAAAAGCATCGGTTTAAAGCAGTGGTTCTCAACCAAGGGACCTCAGTACACTTCCAAGGGAGCCACAGGATGACTTAGATTATTTCAAACAATTTTCCCTCTCAATAATGAGAGTTTTTATTCAAGAATGAACAATTTGAAAACTTACGGAACCACAAAGTGAGTCCTTAATTGATTTAATATTTCTACAATCTCAGTTTCTGTCAATAATAATTAAAAAAAAATTAAAAATCTGCTTTGTCATAAATAATTACAGGAGAAATGGCAGAAGAAATGTTTTAAGGTGAGGTCACATTCACCGTTTATCGAATGTTTGCAGGCAAAATCCACACAATCTGGAATTTCAAATTTCCAAATCAATTTCAAATTATTAATTATTTTTACATTTTAGGATAGTTCACCCAAATGTCAAATAGAATGAAAGTCAGAGGGGTCTAAAACAATACTTTACACCAACAGCTTTCATTTTTTCAGAATATCTTTTGTGTTCCATAGAAGAAAGAAAGGTTTGGGACTGACATTAGGGTGAGTAAATAATGACAGTATTTTAATTTTTGGAAGACCTATCCCATTAAATTACTGTGCAAACATAACCAAGACCTCTCACCACTTTTAAACACAGATGTTATTATATTTTGATAAAAGAGATGACTTGCACACATTTAGCATAACATAACTAGCTAGCTTCAATAAATTATATTAATTTGACACCGACTTCAAACAAAAAGCTCATCAAATAGCTCTTTGCATCTATTCTACAGTGTTTCCCAGCCAAATTTGCATGTGCATCTATGCCTTGATCGCGTGTGAATTATAAATGCATTACCCTCTACTAGCAGAACACCATGATTTGCTCCAAGGGCAGCCTGGAGCACAGGCCGAGAGAGCAGCACCCTCTCTGGTGTGGTGCTGTAGGAATATCCCCTCCACGTGTGGAGCAAACCCTTCTCCCCAGAACCGTCCTCCTCACCAGAACTACAAACACAGAGATGGACACAGTCATGAGACAAGAAACAAACACTAAGAAGTATACAAACACTGCTTTGTTTAACCCTGCTGGCAGTCTGTCTTTGAACGCACTCACCTTATCTGCTTCTCCATCTCTAAACGTTCCCCATGTCCCGGCTGTTGCGTTTGTCACCGTAGATGATTGTCCTGTGAGAGAACGGGTGCCAAATGATTTCAGATGCTGAATGACAACAAAACTTGTTTGTTTAAAATGGTCACCCCTTGAACAAAGGCTTTGAAATACAGACCTTTTAGAGATTATTACAGAAGAGAAAGCAGCTTCAAAAATGAAAGTGTAAAAAAGTTTTAGGTTAAAGTTTATGTTTAAGCATGTGTTCTGAATTAAATATTTTTATTCTATTCAAAATGTATATTTTACAAAATAATTCCGACTCTAAAATTCAAATGTATGAATTTTACGTCTATATGTCCATGTTGTGTTTAAAATTTAAATGTGATTTGACAAAATATTTTAAAGCACCATTTCATAATAATGCAATGTCCAATTTCAAAACGGTTTTCACAGGATTCATTTTGAGTGTGTGAGTGAATTTTTAACCTTTTGAATGATAATTTGTGATTATTACTAAATTAAGTATTGATGATACTAAACTAATAATAATACTAACATACTAAACTAATTTTCCTGAGACATGTTTCCAATGCTTCATTGAACTACAGTCACGAGAATGACCTAATTCTGAAGAATATAATATAATAAGTCTAGATTAGACTTTGATTAGATAGACTCTTGGCTCTCGACTAACTGTGTAAACACATGTGTACACACACCGATCAGGGACAAAGGTGACGTAGGGCTGTGATGAAATCATCAGCTCAATTGACAAAAACACAACAGCTGTCTAATAAATGTACATTTTCTTATAATGAATATTAACAACTCCTATTCTGAGTTATTCTTTAAAGCACAAGCTGTCAAGCCGGTTAAGCTGGACATGAAAAAAAATGACATGAAATAGAGCAATAAGAAAACTCATAAAGATTAGCTTATCAGCTAGAATATTCCAATTGATAACAATGATTCATATGATAATGTCTAATATGAAACTAAACATGCCTAATGACACCAAAGCTCAACAAATTTAGAGAAACAGCGTCGACAGGTGGGGATCATGTTAACCGATGAGTGGAAGATTACACTAACGTTACTGTAAAGTCATACAAATACTATGCAGTCCATTGAAGACAGAAACATTCATAATCTCCATATTCGCTGCTTTAATATCAATCTGATATAGATTATTATGCTTCGTTCATTCTTACCTCAATATGTCCGAAGCGAATTATTCTTGGTTTAAAATATATCTTGTCAGCTTTTAAAACGCTTGACCAGAGATGTAACTTAACGTTAGTGTAACCGGTAAAGAAAGTAGCAGACAGATAGCAGAGCGAAGCTCATGATGATGATATTAATCGGGTGTGTTGTTGTGGATGTTGTGAGCGCTTCAATGCACGGAGAAGCAGGAGGGACAAACTAGATGGAGTATTTACGCTTTCGCTTTTTCAACTCGGGCAGGTAGGATGAGGTGAGTTGGTTGCTTGAAATGCTCAGCTGGTAAGCTAAATATATTATTTGATAAATCTATGGAAACGTTCGATTAATAATAATATATGGATTAATATTGCTCTTGCAGTTGCCTTCGTGTCACTTGCGCTATATATTTTTTACGTAGACTATTTTTCTTAAAGGGCTAGTTCAACCAAACATGAACTATGTTATTAATTTCTCACCCTCACGTTGTTCCAAACCCTTGAGACTTTTATTTATTTTCAAAACACAAAATTAAGATCTTTTTAATGAAATCTGAGAGTTTGTTGTCCCTCCTTTGACAGCAACAACTGAGTGTCAACTTATTGACAATATTTTACATTTTCCAACTATGTTAACAAAAAAAGCAGCTGAGCTTTACTATAGGTATAGTATTTTTGTATATTCGTTTTGCTATTGTATATTCATTCAGCTTATTTGCTTGGTTTATTTTTCTGGAGATGAGTGGAATTTCAAACATTTGTTTTTCTCTCTATTGATCCTCCAGACTCTATTTTTCTCACAAACTCATTCGAAGAGGGCACACATTTACATACACCCTCTGGGTTTTTTTTTGTTTTTTTTTTGTTTTTTTAAGATGCACCAGCCTTTCAAAACAAACCAGCAATCCCTTGCCTCTCTTCAATTTTCAGCCAATTGGATGGAGGTTTGCAGAAGAATTCTGATTGGCCTGTGACCACACAAGCGGCAGTGGTAGCTGCAGGAGAGCAACAGAGAGAGGGGGGTACAAGAAGACAGGAGGAGAGCTCTCAGAGTAAACGTAGGAGGACTTGTGTCAGCGTGGGTGCTGTCTGCCACAAGCTGCCTAAAGCAAGAGGATGACATGCTGGATAAAGGGACAGTAATGAGGTCCAGTACCACACTCAAAATGTATGGGTCACAGTGAGAGCCTCCCGTCGTATCAGCAATTCCATCAAGGTCCAGCAGAAGAATCAGACAGCATGCAGAACCTCCGGCATGCAGCTTCTGAGGCTTTCCAGCGTCTCGGTAGGTGCATTTCAGCTCTATATACAAACAGTATCGAAGTCTGTCCTTGATAGTGTTGATGATGACTTATCGAATGTTGGAAAGAGGAGTAGTGCAATAAATCTTCTTCGTCCCCAGCATCTCAGCTACACATTGAAACTGTTAATAACTTGATTCATGATCTGCTTATTTGCATGCCAAAAATAGTGAAGGGTCCAATTCCAATTCACGACTTTATTTTTCTCAGGGTCATTATTGATGCATCCTTGACGTACCAATTTAATATGTAGAAGTAAAATATTGATTATTGATTAATATCTTGGTTATACAGGATATATTTACATTGAAGCGCCAGTGGATTCCGGAATTGGACCCTTCAATAGCATAATTAGTTAATTTCAGAATGTATTCTTTGTATTTGTGCCGTATTTCTTGTATCAGTTGTATCCAATTGAACACACACTGTTGAACCAATTGAACAGACACTAGCCCCTTTTACTCATAAATAGATTACAGCTCCTGAAATCTATATCCAAAAGAAACTATACCCTACTTAATAAAACTGTTTAAAGTGGTCTGAGCTGGTTTAGTTGGTATCCCAATTCGGCCAGTTGACTAATGCCCTGTAGAACCCTACAGGGCATTAGTCAACTAATGCCCTTGGCTAATTTAGTTGACTAATGCCCAGTAGAAGCCCTGTAGAAGAGTTATTATTGTTAATTCAAAGTAAAACTATGAAAACTATGAAACAGATTTTTAGTAATTAAAATTAAAGCTACACTGTGTGATTTTTACCCCATCTAGCGGTAATAAAAGGTATATGACCATCCAGTGAATATTAGTTTCTGTTCCTCTCAATTCCGATTTCGTAGTCCAAGATTAAACTCAAACGTAAACGCGAAAGTATGCAAAATATGAATAAAAAACTATAATAGTATATAAATCAAATCAAGTAATGACTGTGATGTTTTTTTCAGATGGGTATATGTAACTCCCAACCATAACAGAGGAAGCCAATAGATTGTTGTGCCTAAGCATGTGTCATGTCGATGTGCACTGGAAGACGAATAGCCCAAGCGTGCTTGTAGCAGAACAGAGAGGGTTCTGCTTGACCTGTGGGTACAAGACAGAATGACCTACACAGGAGAGATATTATCCGTGCTTAACTCTATGGCAGAAGTGTGATTTTGCTGTGATGGATGAGGGAAGGGAAGGTTCCTGTAGCCAGGTGAGAGAAAAACAGGCTGTAACAGCATCTGTGTCCATCTCTTGAGAGGCAGGAGGGCTGAGAGTTCAGAAAACTGTTTTCTCAATTCGCAATTCAATTTTCTTTTTTTTTAAATGTAATATTTAAGTATTTATTATAAATGATTTATCCGTGCACATAATTAAAATATATTTTTAGATTAATGCACCCTCGTAATCTTTAATCAAAATATCTTCTCCTCTTCTTGCTGTGACATCTCAAGGTCAAAGTGTCTTTATTAGTAGCTGCGGGTACTTGTTTTATCTAAGCTAACAGACATTTACTGGGGTCTTTAACTTGGCTTGTTTAGCTTGTTTATCTGCACTTTTCTGATAGCCTACATGAGTGATGGGTGGCTGTACACATTGTTCACAGAATACAGATCAGCAAGAGAGAGAGAGAGAGAGAGAGAGAGAGAGAGAGAGAGAGGGAGAGAGGAGGAGGGAAAACGTGAGTTGGTAACAGTAAGAAAAGGATGTCAAGTGGTGATGAAGGAGTGAACAATCTTGATGGAATAAGGAAAAATACTTGTGCAGAGACAGAAAGAGCGAAGTGTAGAGATGGATGAGAGGATGAAAAGAGAGAATGGGAAGCCCTGATGCATCTGAGCATGAGTTATGAGCTCTCTGAGCCCTCCCTTACCCTGACTCATAAATATCTGTGCGATAAATTCTCCGGTGGAAGCAGAAACACACAGCACAGATCATTGGTTGACACGCACAAATATACTCTATAAGAAATGTCCATAGCAACCTGTGTGAGTGACATTTTTATCCAGTAAACGGTAAAACCATTGCCGCTAAAACTAGTGTTTATGATTACAAAAATACATTTAAATAATATGAAAACCAATAACAGTTAGCAATACAATCATACCCGTTTTTTTTGTTTTGTTTTTTTTTGTTAAAAATTAGGTGGAGAAATAGCCAGGAATGGTTGTTAGGGTGTTGCTAGGTAGTTGCTTGCGTGTCTTAAACGGTTTCTTACTGGGATGCACAATATATCAGCTCGATATTGGTGACAATCAGCTGACAATTAATATACTGTATATCGTTATTGTCTGATACTTGATATTTAATTGTGCATGTTCATTTCTTCTGTTTTTATGTTTAGATTAGGCATCATCTAATGGTAACTTAAAGTTAATCTTTAAAAACATTAAAGCGATACTCCACTTTTTTTTGGAAATATGCTAATTTTACAACTCCCCCAGAGTTAAACTGTTGAGTTTTACCTTTTTTGAATCTATTCAGCCGATCTCCGGTTCTGGCGGTGCCACTTTTAGCATAGCTTAGCATACATCATTGAAGTGGACAAGACCATTAGCATTTCTCAACTAAAAATGACCAAAGTGTTTCGATATTTTTCCTATTTAAAACTTGACTCTTCTGTAGTTACATCGTGCACTAAGACAAACGGAAAATGTAAAGTTGCGATTTTCTAAGCTGATATGCAGGGAACTACACTCTCATGGGAGAAATGCTAATGGTCTTGTGCACTTCAATGATGTATGCTAAGCTATGCTAAAAGTAGTACCGCCAGAACAGGAGATCTGCTGAATGGATTCAAAAAAGGTAAAACTCAACAGTTTAACTCTGGGGGAGTTGTAAAATGGAAAAAAAAATGGAGTATCCCTTTAATAATTGAATAATTGCAAATAGCAAATAATAATAGCAAATCTCAAAATCGTTATCCAGTTTTAATTTTGTACATTATAATGTTGTGTTGTCTAAATTCACTTGTAGAATTTAATTTTTTTTTTAATTTATTATTTATTTTATTGTTTTTATCATTTTATTTGTTACCAAACAGTATACAGTTCTTATATTGTCCATTTATCAGTTATCAACAAATAACTTATTGGCTTAATTTTTTCAGTGCATCCCTACCCCCTTGTTTATATAAATACACATATTAATCCATATTAGCGTTGTCATCACGTATGAGAAATTATGCTTCCCTGGGCATGCATTTTTCATAAATACATTTTTGATGAGATGCTTGATGTGAAATGGACTCCTTGAATCAGTTTGATGGCAGGTTATGGTTAATGGAGACTGGTCACAGCTGAAAGGCCCTTTATGATGACCTTTCTTTCCTGTCAAGGACGGTGCTAATCTGATGGCACCCGTCGCTCCTCAGGGTGACACCTGCAGCAGTGCCAAAAAGGGGTTTTAGCAAATTAGATCTGGAACAATCCAACAGAGACATAAAGTCTTCTGGGTCAACATGCGGGGCATTGTCATTCATTCATCTAATGGGATGTAGTTATCTCAACATTAATGCAATCAACACTTGATAAAAATCCTCCCTCATAACTATTTTTTGGTATTAGACTCTGCTATGGGTTTTAAATCATCCTAGCGCTAAAGAAAAGTTATCTCGAAAAACATTCTTCTGAACCGAGATGTTATTTGACATGGTAAAAGTTGTCTGACATTTTTAGGGCAGGACTGTCTTCCTGCAGTCACATTGATCCTTCAAACTTATTTTTATATTCCCTGTATCTTTTGCCTAAACGCAGTTCATTTCATTGTGACTGGCTGTCAGAACATATCGAATCACACATTACATAGCAGATGTACTCCACCTCTCAAATCACCGAAATGGACGTTTTAATAGCCGTGAGCTGTTTTACAGAGCACCCATCCACTGACCTGTGATCATGGGGTTTTTTCTCTTGCCATCTT